CAATCATTTCAAAATAGTTGACTGTTTATTTTTTATTTTTTTGTACATGCCTTGATGATATTGGGGGATGATTTGAACATTACACTTAACAACTTGAACTATAAGTTGTTTGCGTGACCAATTAATTCTAGCAAAGGCTTTACCAATCAAACAAGAAAAGAACAGAAAATTATGAAATTCAAGCTTAAACCAATTATTGCCATCCCATTAATCATAAACCACAACTGCAGTCTGCAGACATCATGATCATCACAAGGCTTATCAATCATCTTCACCTCCAAAACTTGTTATACATCAGCAGCAATTAACACCAAGAACATCCTTATAAAATAAACAAATACAGCCATAAAAAATTTAGAAATCTGCAGCCGTTAAAAATGCATATCTCACTGTACAAAGTTAATAATACTATTCATGGCAGCATGTCTAAAAGGTAATATATCTAAACAGAAAACAAAAATCTCAGAGCTTTAAAGTAAGATCAGGTGAAGATGAACTTGTCTTTGCATTTGGTGGCACGGTGGATCCTCCTGAATTCATTGTTGGATTTTGAGAAAACTGCATATTCGAATGATGACCTCCAACTCCCTCACCCACCTGACGGAAACTCCCAGGCCAGAACATACCCACATCATCCTCTTCCATAAACATTGGCACTCCAAAATAGCCTTGCTGAAACCTTGCCACACCTCTCGTGTCAGGGACAGGGAGCCTCTGATCGGATGGTATCATAATGTTTTGGTGCACTGCAGCATGAGCTTCGATACCAAGAGATCGAAATGCAGAAGCAGCAGAACCATGCAGGGGAAGAGATGCCAAGCTAGTGTACCTGTCAGGAAACATTCCCATACGCATAGCACGCTTGGCCATTGTCCTCTCTCTCTTGTGAGCGTTCTGATGGCCACCAAGTGCCTGTGAGCTATAGAACTTACGCTTGCAGTAGTTGCATGAGAACACCCTTGGCATTGTTGCTTCTGAAGTAGGGGGTGCAGCTCCTTCAGTACTGCTAGTCTCCCCTGTGCCCTTCAATTCAATGTCACAGGAGCTAAACTGGAGTGTCAAGTTGAGGGGAAGAGGCCCCGGATCTTGTTGTTGGAGGTTTGTCTGATTTGTGAGGCAGGAAGAAGTGGTGGTGCTATCCTTTGAGAGATCAGGGGATTCTTCTTGCAGAGGGATGTTGGAATTTTCTTGGCTTGTAACTTCCGAATCATTTTCATATTCCAAGTTCAAGTTTGGTGTGACCATGTTTCA